GTAAGTAAGTAAGTAAGTAAGTAAGTAAGTAAGTAAGTAAGTAAGTAAGTAAGTAAGTAAGTAAGTAAGTAAGTAAGTAAGTAAGTAAGTAAGTAAGTAAGTAAGTAAGTAAGTAAGTAAGTAAGTAAGTAAGTAAGTAAGTAAGTAAGTAAGTAAGTAAGTAAGTAAGTAAGTAAGTAAGTAAGTAAGTAAGTAAGTAAGTAAGTAAGTAAGTAAGTAAGTAAGTAAGTAAGTAAGTAAGTAAGTAAGTAAGTAAGTAAGTAAGTAAGTAAGTAAGTAAGTAAGTAAGTAAGTAAGTAAGTAAGTAAGTAAGTAAGTAAGTAAGTAAGTAAGTAAGTAAGTAAGTAAGTAAGTAAGTAAGTAAGTAAGTAAGTAAGTAAGTAAGTAAGTAAGTAAGTAAGTAAGTAAGTAAGTAAGTAAGTAAGTAAGTAAGTAAGTAAGTAAGTAAGTAAGTAAGTAAGTAAGTAAGTAAGTAAGTAAGTAAGTAAGTAAGTAAGTAAGTAAGTAAGTAAGTAAGTAAGTAAGTAAGTAAGTAAGTAAGTAAGTAAGTAAGTAAGTAAGTAAGTAAGTAAGTAAGTAACATCCTGCTCTTGTTCGTGTCTCAACGTCTCGAAGTTTACTGTAGACTGCTGTAACACGTTCATTTCTAGTCTGGATAAAGCATCTGCTGCCTGATTGTCCTGATCTTTGACATGTCGGATATCGCTTGTGAACTGTGATATATAGTCAAGGTGTCGAACTTATCGAGGTGAGTATTTATCGGCTCCATTAGGTCAAATTATAGTGGATATTTTTAAGGATTGCCTTGAAAACATGGAGTTTAAACAAGCAATTAACGAAATGACGAAATACTCTAAGCGTGTTGATGACACGTTTATTGCCAACCATTATAAACACCATGCAATCAATCCACTTGTCAGCACTCTTTAACAGTGCTCGTCCCAACACACAATTTACTGTGGAACACGAAAACAATGACGTGTCGCAATTTCCTAAAATTGCAATACAACGAACGGAAGATGGGACGGTGTAATGTTTGGTTTACCAGAAAGTACTTGCAATAGTTTTTACCTGGATTTCAATAGTTTTTCTCTAGTTAGTTATAAGGTAATGTTACTTCCAACTGTGTTTATAAATTTACGAGTATCTGCCAAAATAGCTGCACTAGCTGATTAGTCGTATGGAGGACATATCTTAGATCTTTCGAATATGTTCCGAAAAGCTTTCGAACAAGAGAGAGAACAAAATTAAACAGTGCGATTACTAAACATCTGTTGGATATAGGACATCAGTTCAACCAACCGCTTACAATATTTCAAGGTGATTACTAAACACCCAGTTTCCGGTTTTTCGAAGTTTGCCGAGGCCACTGATATCAGGTGTTATACGCCTGATTAATGTGTTCAAGAGGAGATGGTTGTTAGTCTTTCTTTGCTTTCGTGATAAATATTCCTCCATTACAACAAAAAATTCTGCTCAACTCTTTACTGTAATTAATCACTTGAATGTATCGTTTTGTTTTGACAGTCTTCTGGATTATTGGACTTATATCAATTAATTGGGCTTGACTCATTTTATTCTTACTTGTTCTCAGTGTTTACTGCTTCCGTAACCACTTGTTTCTATCCCTTAGGTCGTTTATTATTATGAATGTTGTAGAATGTTTTTTATATGAGATATACATTCACAATATTTTATTCAGTTTGTTAAATTTCTTCATACCTTTGCTATACTATACTAATAAGTCTTTAAAGTAACTTTTAACTAGACATTTTCATCCAAGTAATCTAAACCGATTTTGTAATTATCATTCTCAAATGTTACAGGTTGTAAGCAGCTGATGAGGACCAGATAAGACAAACTGAATTGTTGTTATTGTTCTCAAATCTTTTTCATGCTATGCTCAAGATGATAAATAGAACTATGTTTGGTTAATTGCAATTCACTTGAATTTCAGTAACCTATTATTAAATATATCATTGTTTTCATGTACATTATCACAATGACCCAGTTGTCACTCGTTAATAAATGATTAGTTTTTACTTCCTACTTTGTATTAATTGATAATAAAAATTAGTAACTGAATTATAAGAACACCGGTTTTAATTAAGTATAACTGTGAAGAGATCTTGACTGTAAGTTAACTTGACAAACAGTATGTACATCATAGTGTTTTAGGACAATCTACTAATCAGAACTAACTCTTGTGTGATTTACTCATCTTAATTAGACGTTAAATACTTCTCAATAATCAAACAATGTAAGGTAAAGCATTTTCAGATTTCTGAGATAATTATTCAAGTATGTGAACTTTATTACTTTTTAACTACGAGTATAATCATTGTTTAGCACCATACAACGATACATCCATTGACGTTCGACTTTTAGAGTTTATTTGATACACTTGATTTTTGTTGAAAATCCAATTTTATTCTACCACTCAACCAACAGCACCATTCATTTTACACAACAGACAAAAACACAGGATTATTTTTCAATTAAATTAAGGAAACTGAATAAGCATAAGATTACATAATGGGACTACATAACGGGCACTATTCTCACTATATCTTTTACAGCTGAATAGGATGTATTGTGTGTAAAATAAATAATTTCCAGTACTCGGTGAAGGTCTAAAGCATACTAGATACAAAATTTAAACTATTATGTTAGACGGTCTTTGCTCTAAAATCGGAATTATTCACCATACACACATAAGCTGACTGATTAACATTTTCAGTATTTACTTCATTTGCTAACCTGTATGTATCGTCATTCAATCACAAGATACATGTTTATCTTTAGCGAGTTAGATGTCGCTTATATCTTTTTTAAAATTATGTTGTGTAGACAGTCAAGAGAACTTGAAGTGCCACACTACTTGAGACCTATTACGCAGTTACGTTAGACATCTTTCATGAATCAGTATGGGCACTGATATAGTCATGTTCGACAGGTATGCAAAGATTTACATGCAACTGCTAAATCAGTTACATTAATTGAACAGAAAGAAGAGCCGATTAAGATTCATTAAGCATGTCCAATAAAGTTTGGGTTGAACATCAAGCGCTTAGTAGCCAGACTTTTAGACATTTATTTTAAAGAATGCATCAAATAGATAACCTGAAATTTCTGAAAATGATTAACCATTAACCCAGCTTTATTTCACTAAGATTTGGTGAAGCCATTGTTTATAAGTTATCACCCGCAATTGTTGTTTAGAAAAACCATAGTTGATAAAATAAAGACTTTATTTATCTGTACATTACAAATTCAAATAATAGACTAAGAGATGACCAGAAGTTTATCTGAACATACGATCTATTGATTTTATATAGGTTCTTTGTAAAGGACAGTTACTGAATGCCGAACCTTGAAGTGCAGATAAAAGACAATTCTTTGCTTTAGGTTTGCAAAATATATCATCCATGCAAGCATTTCTCAAACTCTTTAAGTCCGTGAACGTGTCTAAACAAAAGAGACAAACAATGGCGTTTCAAAAGACATGATATAAACTATACGGATAAATAAAAATGACCTCCGAGTAAGAATAACGAAATAATAACAAATCCTTTCATAGCGAATTCTGTTATTCGTTTTCATCATGTTGTTTCATGTATAAAGTAATGGTTACATTGAATGGATTTCAATCATGATGTAAATGTGATTTAAATAATCTTCTGGGACAGAGATTAGTTAACTTGCATAAAGAATCATCTACATGACAGCGATTAGTTCGATAGAACTCCGCTTAGGAAAACTAACAAAGTTATGAAATAATCAAGATAACACAGTTTTCGGTAATGAACAGTTAAATTAACAGATCAAAAATTATTTCAACCGACATGTCTTCATATACGCAATGATAAGACTGAGAAATCATTTTAGTAGTATAGGACTTCGAATAATTTTTAATAAATGTTCATCCACACATGACATAATGTTGTTATGATAAAGATAATCACAATGGTGTATGGTAGCAGTAAACTTTTCTTGAAGTGGATGATGATGGACATTCACATGTACTTAATTATGAAATTCAATTTAATTTTAAAATTGATTACATCTATAATTGCCTCAAGGATATATTTGTGGAAAAGTAGTTGCATGTAACAGGTATATGCAGCGAATTTTAAGATTCACATTGACCAAATGTGTTAATACGCTCAAATTCATGATCGTCAGTACAGTTACAAACGATTATGGATTGTTGTTCATACAAAATATAGTCAGAAGAAATAATGCATCAAGTAGTAAACTCTATGTTGTATAACAGTTTTGAAACTCTCTATGTTCACTGTAGGGTGATGAGATGGGGTATTTTACTCCTAACTACATGACAACTCTAACTTAATATACTGAAATTATTACAATTAGAAACTAGTCACTTGAAAGTGAATCAAACACATGCTCATTGTCATGCGCAATATTGTTTAGCTGACACTTTCAAATTAACAAATCTTGCATAAAAATACGTTGACAAAACAATAAGTCCATCATTGGACATTGTGAATTAATGATAAGTATTGACATTGCAGTTCATTATAATCTGTTACCAACACTCACGTGAATCACGTTTGTTCTGTTTGAAACAAAATTCCATCGTTGCCTCAAAATCTTTGTTACATCGGTGAAGACTTTCAGCTCCGAACGTTACTGCACAGAAATAAGTTAACATAATACCGAAAACCTAAGAAGGAATTTAAACGGATTTAGTTAGGAAATGACAGTGATCAAATAATTTGATTCTACAAATGATAAAAATAACGTATTTGTAATATTATATTGGGTGGAGTATCAATTCCTCACGTTTCATGACTTCACGTAATTCCATTCAATTTGTATTGATAACTAACTGTTACCGTATATAATTAGATTAACATGATATCACTGACTTGATTTGCATTGTTGGAAAATTGGACAGAAATATATCAGAAAAATATGATGAATTGTATTACGTGAAGGTTTCAGTCGTATAAATCATAATGAATCTAACTTACTGCAAGAATCTTCATTTCCACAGTTCTGTTCAATATAATTAAATAAACCATACTGATGGATGAGTATGTTTATATAGCAACTATTTGTATAACCTAATTGGTCATTAGGAATTTGACTGTCTCATTGGTTGGAACAAAATTTAGAGAAACACTCTCTAAAATGCATCTAAAGTATTATTGTTTTTCTGAGAAATTATCACAGAAATAATTCCAACTAGGCCATTTACAAGGGTCAAATTTTTACTACAATAACATCAATGGAAATGATTGTGTAATTCAAAGTAACAACTAGTATTTGAAGTAATCAAAATATAGTCAACTTCACAAAACAGGTACAGTTCAACAAAACACAAATGAGAATTCCTTACTCTTTTAGTTTCCAAAACATATGGGTTTGGTATTGGAGAATGAAAGATACGAATTGAACTTACAATTGCTCTTTTTTCTAAAAATAATCAATTATCAGCATAAACTTTAGCGGAAAAAATTCATTTACCTACCTGTTCGAACCTTATCATTTGTATCCCCAGAAAAGTAACGCTCAAACATTTTGCGTCCCGTCATCATCATAGAGTGCTCATAACTTTTCAAGCTTTTTAGAACATGAAAACTACGATTATATACTACAAGATATGTAGGTGTCGAAATAAGAAAAGAATCAATACCAAATTTTGTTTAGAATGATTTTCTTACTGCATTTGGTATGTGGCTAGCAGCTGAATTCAGAACATATATTTCATATTATTTGGGACTCGTCACCTGGATCTTCCATTCATATAGACTAGCACTAAAATCCTGAACCTTTCACTTCAAACTCAAACTCAGTATCCACTGAGCCACTGAGTCTATACATGCTTCGATTTATTCAACAGGTGTAAATGTATTGATGAGACTTTCTAATTTCCCGTTGCTGATATTCATGACTTCCAGTCAGGAAACAAACATAATAAGATCTGTGACTTAACGGTACATCAAAGCTTTTCGATTACAATACACATATGACAACAGAGACAGATCACGGTGAATAACAGACTCTTACTTATTGTCTTCTTTTGTTTCATCATCACCCTAACGGATCGCGTTACTTCTATTAAATATTTTTGCAATTAAAATCAATTTATTTTTCTCGATTGACGTTCAGAGAAACCCGAGTTCATTTATGTAAACTTGATTTGCAACACAATGACTAAACGCATTCATAACTTTGAAAGTCTTCTTAACAAGGACTTTGTTTCATAATTGATTTTAATGATAATTCTAATCATCAAGTGTAATGAAACATCAATGTTAGTTAACGAGTGGATATTAGGACACATCAAGTATCTGGATATACATCATTTTGAGGAATTTAATGAAGCGACAAATACTGGTGCATAGACGATAAACCCTACTGAATGTGTTCTGTATATTTGAAATCACTCACCTCATTCAGTGGTTTTCAATTATAGATACTAGTGTCTAAATGGAAGAATTAATTGAGAGGATCGAAATCTATTATGTGGCCTGCTAACCTGTTGACCTGTCTTCATTACAACATAATAGAGAACTAATAACGCCGTGAAATGTAGTTTCTGTCAACTTCCATTATAATTATTTTCTAAAATTTGCATGAAGTTCATTCTAATTATGTCAGTATTTTGGTCATAAGTGTTAAGTAATTAATTTTTTGGTGGGATTATTAATATTTACTAACGAATCCAACAATTATTTCAACTAGTCAGAGACACTGAATTTATTAAAAATGCCAAAATCGATGTATTAGTACGGGAGGTACAGTATTGATATTCTTGTGGTGTTTGCATGAATTAACAATTCATTTGTACTTATTGAATACTTGATTTCGAATTTCAAATACAATAAATTTGTCCATGCTTATCTAGTACTTCTTGCTTAAGTTGAATTATTTTTGGGATTCCTAGTTTGTACTATAATTCAAATGCTCCTAGTTATCATATTGGCATCGCGATGGAGCCTGTAATAGAACAGTTGGTCATTCGTTCAACTTCGGAAGCTTTTGAGATTTATTTGAAAAGGTTTGAAATCTGTAAGATAACCAAGAAAGATGTTAATGGTGATAAAATTGTGGCACATCTCCTTACATTCATTGGAAAACAAGCCTACAGTCTATGAAAATCTTTGTTATGTCCAGAAAAGCCTTCACAAGGTTTATGTACCTCTGACGTACGCCTTTCAATGACAAACATTGCCACAGAATCTCACGGTTTACCGAGTCAAATGCTGATTCTAAGTCAAGAAAGACCACCACCGGACGCCGATAAGCATTCCTGTCTTCTAAAACCTGACGAATGATGAATATGTGGTCGCTGCAGTCAGTAAATTTTTGGTAGGATTATTAATATTTACTAACGAATCCAACAATTATTTCAACTAGTCAGAGACACTGAATTTATTAAAAATGCAAAAATCGAATTATTAGTACGGGAGGTACAGTATTGATGTTATTTGACACTGAAACCTCTTTATTTGTTGATGCTTAATGGTGGTAAATGAATATATCAGTTTTTCGGAACTCAAATGAATAACAATATCAATATGGGGGTTGTGGATATTGTTAAGTTTTTGGTTGAGATCATGAATCAGTTGATGTTAGACCACCGTTGGAAACCTGGAAGCACTGGACGGCCGTTTCGTCCTAGTATGGGACTCCTCAGCAGTGCGCACCCACGATCCCGCACCCCGCGGGATTCGAACCCAGGACCTACTGGCTTCGCTCTAAAATGGAGATTACAAAAATTGTATTGAAGAGTTAGGGACAAGTTTATTCTGAGTAATCTGAATGAATGGAGGTCAAACAGGAAATTATTCTACAATATAATTTGATTATAATTAGGTTCTAAAATTTAGAATGAAATGAAACCTCTTTAACACAGATCATTGTGTGATGAAAGTGATTCACTCATATATTTTTACTCGAAATTTTACTGGACACTGAAACAGTATTAAATATCTAGTAATGGAATCAAACAACTTAGACTATTATTCTTTTGTATTCGAACAAACTACTCTCTGACTGAAATGTTTATCATTTGTTGCCACTAACAATTTTACACATTAACTGTATTGATTTTAATGCTCACAGAATAATAGAAATGATTTATCCGCTTCAATATTTTAAACATTATATATTGTATATTCCCTCTAACTAATAGCATTACCTCGTGAATTCGTTTTCAAATGAAATAATTCAGTCACATTAGTTACTTTTTGGTTAACTGAAAACAAATAAACATCTAATGAGTAATATTACCAACATACACATTTCAATTTTTTTTTCAGGTTATAATTTCTTTCTTCTTGTACAGAATATAACGTTATCAAAGCTTTAATGTTAATTCACAATAATAATAATAATCGCTTTATTCAACATTATGTGATTAGTACAATACGGAATTCTCAGAGTGAAAAATTACGCTGAACTTATGACCGATATCTCAGTCATGTAAACAAGTAATTACCAATCAGCTTTATGTGGCTTTTTAGAATTTGCTGTTACAAGTTGATACATGCATTTCATATGTATGTTGTTCACAGTTAACATTTATTTCATTTCTTTTGTTTTGTTTCACAAGTTTGAGAAATAAAGTATGTCATAACTTGTGTGTTCTATTAATAGTACTTTCTGTAATGACTTATGATCGATTAATATATCACTTGATAAGGTAGCCAATCATAATACGACTAAAACAATCTTAACACTGTGCCACAACAGTGATGTATTGACCGGGACGAGTAACCTAGCGTCCTTATTGATCCTTTTCCCGTTTAACCCTGCCTGTTGAGTTCAGAACACCAGAACAGCTTCCACTGTATGAATCATATATTTGAAACATACCTGGTTTATATACAAACCAAGAGTTTAATCTTCGGAGAATTCATTTTCAGAGCTTTACAATCGAGAATATACACTTCTTTTTCAAAATGATAATAATCACAGTAATAACGATAATTGGATTCTGCTAAACATGGTAACAGTAAGGATGCATAAACGAAGGCATTAAAACGTTAGTTTTAACAAGGAAACTAGTAATCAGCTGGATGTATCTGCATCTCAGAGTTGATGTTCACTCTGGGACATGAATATTCATCAAGCAGATAGATAAGGAGATTATAATTCGGAAGGAAAGGCTCAGCGGGATAAGATAAGATGTTGAAATTGTGAGTAACTGTAATCTGGAGGATCATAGAAACAGAAACAAATCAGCTGGGGGTGGAAGGTCCATGGAGAAGATAGAAGGGAAGCAGATGGTAGTGAGAGATTATAAAAAAAAGCATTGTGAGAGATTAAGACCATAATAGGGGAAGGGTTTGTACCAGATTGTTTCAGACAAGTGATTCCGATTCTTCAAGGTGTATAGCTAGTGCATCGGCAATACTAGGAATGCGAAATGTAATTGCCATTGACAGCTTTCTACTTGATTTATAGACGACTTTGAAAGCAAAATCTACTTTGATTGAATTGTAGTGACCTACTTTTATCAAGAGAACGCGATTGATTTAATGGAAACAATCATTATTATAACCAATTGTACCAGTGATTGTTTTACTGTGCTCATTTGTTTAACTGTGCTAAAGACAGCCCTATTACTGCTCCTTTATCTTTCGATTGTGACCTTGCACGGGTTCGGTTAAACCCGGTAACCACGCTTGTATTCCTTTGGCACGATCTCGGTATCCTTTCGAAACCACGAGATCGCCAACAAATAAATCTTGACTACAGCCATCAACTGCCTCCTGATATTTGGCTTACGGGGGATTTTATCGGCTAACTGGCACGTAGTCTTCTTGTAGTGGTGTTCATTGTCAATCGCAACTCGACTCCACGCTACAGTTGGTGAACCCAAAAGTACGAACATTTCTCAACCTCTGGTCAAATCTTCCAAAGAAGCCAATTGCGGTGAGTCTATTACTTATCTATCCATGTCTGTCGTATATTTTCATATTAATATTTTTCAATATATAATATATTCGACATGACAGATAACGATAAGAATAGTATTAATATAATAGACTCCGATGTACGCGTACCAAATCTTAGGTGTCTTTCATTTGCGTGACGATATACTCCACACTTTGTTCGAGAAATTTCCCCAAATAACTATTCTCACTGACCCGGCTGCTTGGTACGGAACGCATACGCACTACCGCCTACCACCCAGCATCAAATGGTTTAGTTGAACGGTTTCATCGCCAACTTAAAACTGCTCTTCGAGCACACGAAAATGACAGTTGGTACGAAACCTCACCACTCGTCTTCTTAGGTATCAGAACGAGCTTGAAGGCAGATATCCAATGTTCCGCCGCTGAACTTGTATACGGCACGACATTTCGTCTGCCTGGGGAATTCTTCACACCACGGAGCAGACCTAATTTCGGTAAATCAGACTACTTCCATCGACTGTCTGTATTTATGCGAACGCTGTCTCCGGTGTCAACTCGTATACAACATCGACAGGTCGCTCTCCCTCGAGAGTTATCTACCTGTTCACATGTTTTCATACGAGTAGATTCGGTACGCAAACCTTTTCAACAAACTTACGAAGGCCCTTCTCACGTGATCGCTCGTCACGAAAAGACCTTCAGTGTTGATCGACATGGCCGCGTCGAGATCGTCAGCATTGATCATCTCAAACCAGCACACGTCGATGACAGTGCCCTATCTGATAACCAGAGATTCAATGATAGACCTATCAAACCTACTAGCGGGATCCTCAAACCATCTTCAGGTCCCACGCTAGGTACATCAGAGACCATGCTGCCCTTGACTTCGGATGCGATTGCAGGCTCACGAAATACGAACGAGACTACCGTCCCACGTTCTGTTCGCCGAGTACGCTTACCCGTACGCTTTCGCGACTAACTGCACAGTCAATAACCGATACGGTGTAGGACTATTCCTGTACTATATGCATGCTGCACTTCTCTTTTTTTGATTTTTTTGCATCCTGAGCCTACGCCGCCGACCATCACCCGTTTGGTATCGTCGACTTCAGTCAACCTTGACGAAGGCTGGCCTGATCACCTACGCTCTTGTCAACGCACTCAGTCGATATTTTGGTTTGGAATGTTTGGCATACTATGGTTTCGAACCTGGTTGTCAGGGTCGCTTCCGGTTTCTTGGCTCAACGTGGTTTCGTCTTACGTCTGCAGCGTTTACTGGTCCGGACCCCTACGAACGCAATCTTCAGATCCTGGATACAAACCACTCTGATTTGGTGTGCCAACTCGAGCAACAAATACAGCACACTTCTCTTGGTATCGTTCTCCGTAAAAGACCTTCGGTGGCAACTCGAGTATCAACAATCGCTTTCTGTTCCGCCAATCCTTTCGTTCTACAATCGCACGTTTACCGATCAGTCCCACGAATCAAACCGCTACTTATCGAAAGTGTAAACCCTTTCTAGCGGGGGGCTCCTGTAGTGACCTACTTTTATCAAGAGAACGCGATTGATTTAATGGAAACAATCATTATTATAACCAATTGTACCAGTGATTGTTTTACTGTGCTCGTTTGTTTAACTGTGCTAAAGACAGCCATATTCCTACCCCATTACTATTCCGCGGTTTGTGACCTCGTACGTTCGTACTCTTGCCCGCTGATTCCACTTGTACCCTTTTGGCACGATCTCGGTATCCTTTCGATAACACGAGATCGCCAATGAATATATCTGGTTACATTCAATCTTCGCCTTCTGATTTATTTGGTATGCGTTTCCCTGTAGTGCTGCTCATAGTCAACTTCGAATCTACACCACGCTACAGAATTACTCATGTTCACAAGGTGTTCCATTAATAAATTTTTATTGATCCATTTCCACTTCTTTTCATCCAAGTTGAGTAATTCTCTCGAATTCTTCTGGATAAAATACGTACCGACCGATCCATGAATCTGGCTTCACATGAAGGACGAGTCGTTTTGGCTTCAATGTGTGTTTCCTGGAGTTTTAGTGCGAAGCCGTGACTAGTGGATTCCAGCAGTGTTTTCAGTTACTCACTGAGACAATGATGGAAGGTCGGGCGATATCGTGTATTGGTTGGAGTGAGATATCAACACCGCTGAATGTTGGTTCAGTAGTCTAGAGGTTAAGTGTTCGCACGCGGGACTGCAGGTGCTGGGTCAGGTTCTCGGATGCAGGATCGTGGGTGCGCAATGCTGGAGTCCTGCACTAGGATGAAACGGCCGTCTAGTGCTTCATGGTTTTCCATGGTAGTCTAGCTTAAATCGACTCATGATTTCAACTATTAAATTATTAAAATCTCCACAAAAACTCACTCTGATAAGATTTTGTACCTGATAAAAT